GGTCGGTCGGTCGGTAGGTCGGTAGGTCGGTAGGTCGGTAGGTCGGTAGGTCGGTAGGTCGGTAGGTCGGTAGGTCGGTAGGTCGGTAGGTCGGTAGGTCGGTAGGTCGGTAGGTCGGTAGGTAGGTAGGTCGGTCGGTCGGTCGGTCGGTAGGTAGGTAGGTAGGTAGGTAGGTAGGTCGGAGGAGAGTAGACCAAGACTCGACTTCTGCGCTTACCCTCCTGCCTATGTACCTACTTGCCTACCTGCCTATCCCAGGCAAGCCGACAGCCGCAACAGGTCACCACCAGCACCACCAGCACCAGCAGCACCAGCACCCACCGACAGCACTGACAGCAGCAACAACAGCAGTAGTCGAAGCCAGCGGTGGTCAAAGGTCAAAAACGTAGTTAGAAGCCCTAAACCTTAAACCCTAAACCCTAAACCCTAAACACTAAACCCTAAACCCTAAACCCTAAACCCTAAACCCTAAACACTAACAGGATATCGCAGAGATAGACTTGTGAGTCCGAAGCCCTGGCAAGAGCAACAGGTTTCTGCAAGCTGTCTTGGGGGCATCTTGCAGTATAGTCATAGTCATATGGGAGTTTCCGACAATAGGGGGTCCTTATTTTGGGGTCCTCATAATAGGGATCCTACTATTTAGGGTGCTATATTAGGGTCCCCTATTTTCTGAAGCCCCCATATTAAGGAGCCCTAAACCCTAAACTCTTGTCAACCCTAAGCCCTAAACCCTAAACTCTAACTCTAGTCATCCCGAAACCCCAAACCCTAAGAAGCCCTAAACCCTGGACGTCTACAGGACCGGCAGGCTGAGGGAAGCAAGGACAGTGCTACACGCGAGGCCCGCAGTAGTTTAGGGTTTAAGGTCTAGGGTTTAGGGCACAATAAACCCTAAACCCCTAAATTTAGTGAGTCTGCCTCCGAACCCTGAGCCCTGAGCATTCAGATTCGATAGCGGTTTAGGTTTTAGGAGTCTTTTCGACGAGTCGTTCAAGGATTCTAGAAGGATGCTTATAGGACTCTATACGATATTATGGGGCTCTACAACTCCCAAATTTTCCCAAACCGCAAGGCCTAAACCGTAAACCTTATGGCTCCAAACTCTGCGCTGCAATCATTAACTCAATTCTCAACAGCTAACCCCAGAATTGCTGCCGGAGCTGTGTCTGTTGGAAATTGAACAAAATCCCGTCTCTAACCCCTAAAACGCTAAGTCTGAGTGTTTAGGATGTCCCCCAGTACAGTGGCTGATAAACTATGCCACGACGTCACCAATGAAAGAGGAGCCCCGTGTAGAGCGGGAGATCGGAAGGCTTCGTCGGAAACGCAACACCGAAATCCGATCGCTAAATCCTCCTAGAGCCCGGCCCGGAAAGCAGAATGAACTCCAGATCCTTTATTTTAGGGTTGACGGTTTAGGAACAAAGATATAAGGGCTTAAAAGATGTGCTTCGGATTGCAACCGAGCTTTCCCGATGCATGAAGCCACTGCTCTACCATGGTAGAGAGTTTGAGGCATCGGGGAATCGGGGCGATTGATGATGTCCAGGCGAACTTGCTTGACCCAAACAGCCCCAGACCCTTTGGAAACCATGCTTGTCCTGCAGCCGAAGGCGTAATTACACGATTCCTCAACGGGCACTGCCGCTTGTCCACAGTAGCTCCCATTCCAGAGCTTGGACAGGTCTGGCATTGAGAGGCCTTAGCGATATGGGCAGTTCTCTAAATTGGGGTCCCTTTTCCCGTATAGTACGGGCCCTAGAATCTAGGCCCTAGAAGGGACCCTAATTTAGACAACCACCCATATGGAGCTGACGACCATGCCTCATGCGAGCAAGTTCTTCACGATTACAGTGCGGCAGAAAGCGGCTGCGGAGGCAGCTGCCACTGGCACTGATGGTGACGCGGCGAACAACCCTCAACTAAACCCTAAACTTCAGACAGATAACCCTAAACCCTATAAACTTCAGACAGACGGTTCACAGGAGCTTGGAGTTTAGGATTAAGGTTTGCCTCCAGCCTCGAAACCCCGAACCCTGACCTTTGAATCTAAAGAGACGCTCCAAACCACCCAAAAACCACGGGAAATGCCGTAAGATCCCTTAAACAAGGCCATAGATCTAGACCCTTCTGTAAAAATAACGCATGAAGCTCTTATACAATTCAGGTACGACAGTTACCCTGAAGCCCTTATACTCCCGAAAGAGGCTCGTGTACAAACCCTAAACGCTAAACCCTAGACCTTAAACCCTAAATCCTTAACCCTGAACCTTAAACCCTAAACCCTCAACCCTAAACCTTAAACCCAAAACTCTAAACGCTAAACCCTAAACCCTAAACCTTAAACCCTAAGCCCCTAAACAATAAACCCTAAGCCCCTAAACTCCCTAAACCTCAAAGAGGCTCACGGCCTTCCCGAGGGCTATGCCCGGCAGAGGGGCTTCCAGTTGTCCCTGGGTCCGCAGATGGATTGAGGGTTTAGGGTTTATGGTTTTCGGGTTTAGGGCTTTAGGGGTTTAGGGGTTTAGGGTTTAGGGTTTGGGGTTTAGGGTTTAGGGTTTGGGGTTTGGGGTGTAGGGTAGGTTTATAGGGTTTAGGATTTGGGATTTGGGTAGTTCTCTAAATTAGGTGCCATTCTTTGAGTCCCCAATATAGTACGGCACCCTTGTGAAAGGGACCCTCAAAGGGACTCTAATTTAGGGTTTAGACGGCTTCTTCGGGGTTTGATCAAGGGCTTTCTGCAGGTTGTGTTGGGTGGTTAAAGGGCTGAGATTGGAGCTTATTTAGGTTCGGCTCTTTGCAACGGACTGCGATGAAAAGGCTCAAGGGAGCCGGGGCCCGGTTGAGAACCCCCTAAATCCTAAACCCTACACCCATTCAGGAAGTGCTAAGTGAGGTCATGGTGAAGTTTCGAGCTCAGGTATCTCCAGAATCTGGGCAGGGGAACCCGAAACGCTGAACCCTGAAACCTGAACTGGCCCTGATCCATAAACTCTAAAACCGTGAACCCTAAACCCTAAACGCAAAACCCTGAAACCTGAACCCCAAACCCTAAACCCTAAACGCAAAACCTTAAAGCCTGAACCCTAAACACAAAACCCTAAAACCCTAAACCCTAAAGCCCTAAACCTGTCCTCCTGAACGGAAGAAGCTGGTCTTGGTGGTTGCGAGTCCCGGTCCAAGCCTTGGGTTCCATGGGCCGAAAAAAAAAGCTCCCTTTCATAGACACTCGTTCACAGAAGAGGGTTCAGGTTTTAGGGTTTTTAGGGTTTAGGGTTTAGGCTTGTGGGTTGAGGGTTGTGGTTCGAGGGTTTAGAGGAAGCTCCCTAACAGGAAGCTTCGTCTGAATCTTTATAGCCAGCCTGGGCTTGCCTCAGAGCCTTTCGGTCCCCTTAAACCCTAAACAATGAATCCTAAGGGCCTAATGTAGAAGCCTAAATAAATACCAGTAGTATTTTGGGGGGTTCCTCATGATACGTATAGTACAGTATACCCCAAAACCCTATTCTAATTACTAAGGCCCCTACATTAAGGGACTGCATCCTAGACCCTAAACCCTACACCGATGCATGGACCTGGGCTTAGTGTCTAACAGAGTTCGGGGACTGCACATCTCCTCATCTCGCGTTTTTTCGAAGCTTGAGTCATGAGTTGATGCTAGTATTTTGGGTTTAGGGGTTAGGGGTATCGCTACCATGGTTTTCAGCTTAAGCTGCTTGTGATAGCGACCCCCCTAAACCCTAGACCCTAGACCCTAAACCCTAAAACCCTAAACCCTAAACCCTAAACCCCCTAAACCTCAAGCCCTTGTGTCCGGTTGTTCTGTAGTTCATCTCGTCGTGGATATGTGGGCAATCTCGTGGAGCCTTTGCCGCAAAGGTACTGCATGAATCGCTGGGTGCGCTCCCAAGAGAAGCCCTCTGTGTAGATTAGCTGGAGGGGGGTTGAGAGTGTGGTGTTTAGCCGCCTTCACTGGTTTCGTGTCTGGGATTTGCAAAAGGGTTTGGGGTTTCAGGGATTTAAAGCTTCGTTTTGGGGGGGTGGGGGGGGGACCAGTTATTCCTTTAATAGTCCCTGTATGGTTGACTGTACAACCTGCTAAACTTTTCTAAATCCTAAGGCCCTCATTGTGACGTCGGGCCTTCCGTAGAGGTTGCCAGGGATATCGAAGTTTCTCAAAGGAACCTTAACCCCCCTAAACCCTGAGCTCTACACGCCTCATCCTGAAAACCTAAACCCTAAACTCAAGGCATAGGCCGCCCACCTCAGTGCAAGTCGACCCAGTACGCCAGCAACACTCTCCATGGTAGCACCCACGTCGGACCCAAACTGAGTTTGAGCTCCCCAAAACCCTAAACCCTAAACAGAGCAAATTCCAGAGCTTGAGCTCCAGACCCTAACCTCCAAATCTTTTTCGGATCCCCAACTGCTCATCCACACACTTAGCCCCCATGCCTTACGGGGTAGAGGTTATAGCTAGTACAAGTCGTCGTCGTCGTCGTCGTCGTCGTCGTCGTCGTCGTAGTAGTAGTAGTAGTAGTAGTAGTAGTCAACCCGTATTGTCGCCGTATCTTATACTAGGGTATATGCTGAACCCTAAACCCCAAAACTTTTCTCCAAATATCAAGGCCCATGTACTAGCCTCTTAGAGCGCATTGGCCTAGGTTTTCAGGGTAGTACAGAGCCGGGCTTAGTCGGATCCTGATTGTAAGACCCCAAAGAAGAGCGGATGTCGATCTATCTGCATCTCTGTCTGATCATAAGCCCTCTTCTCGAAATACCCGCGATCGAAACTCCAGCTCAGACCCTAAAACCCTAAACCCTTGCAACCCCTAAATCCCAAGCTCCCGTACTAAACCCTCAAACCCTAAAACCCAAGCTCCTGTACTAAACCCTAAAACCCTAAACCCTAAACACTAAAATCCAAGCTCCCACAGTACAGCATCCTTCTCCCTGAAACGTAAGTGGTGCGCAGTGAAAACAGATCGACATCCCGGTTTAGGCTTTAGGGCTTGTGGCTTTGGGTTTAGGGTTTAGGGCTTGGGGTTGAAGGACCCCCACCCCCAACGCTGTAGCAGCCGATAGCCCACAACACCCCAAGCCCGATCCCGAAAGCTGAAGCTCTAACACCCTCCACAACCCTAAACCCTACGCCCTAAACCCTAAACCTTACCCTAAACCCGAATCAGAACCGAAAGCTGAAAACCCTAAACTTAAACACCTTTAACCCTCTTTCCCGGTCGTGTGTTCCTCGGTCGAGAGGTCAAGCAGCTGAAGTCTCTGGAGGAAGAGAATCTGGTCTTGATTTTGATTTGGGCTTGCGGGGGGTGCAAGTTTTAGGGATTAGCGGGGTTTAGATGTATTGATTAGGGGGGTTGGGGTCTAGGTTATTTTTATTTTATTTATTTTTTGGGGTTCGAGTTTAGGGTTTGGGGTTTAGTAAGGTTGCGGGTTCAGGCTTTAGGGTTTAGGGCTGGTTGGGTTGAGGGTTTAGGGTTGGTGGGATTTACGGTGTATTCGGGCTTCGGGATTCGATGTTATGGTTTGCGGGCATTGGGTTTCCCCTGGAAGGTCTTTGATAGCCTTGACCAGATCTCGGCTACTGCACTTGATGAATACCCCTCCCAGACAAGGCGTTACAATGAGGATCCCTACATCCAGGACATTTTCAGGTGGGTAGTTACCGTTATAGGAGCCTTCCAGAAGGTCTATATGCCTTATGGAAGCCTTATAGAAGCCCTAAAAACCCTTAACTCCCCACCTGTAGTTTCCTCTGATTACACACAGACACTAAAAGAGAGAAGCATTTCTCTAAACCCTAAACCCTAAACCCTAAACCCTAAACCCTAAACCCTAAACCCTAAACCCTAAATACCCTAGAGCCTGAACCCTGAAGGCCCTTCATCCGACACTGTCCCACACATACAAGCCCCTACAATATGGAAGCATGAGCGATTAGTAAGGTTTGGTAGTTACTTTAGTAGAGTCCTAGCACAAAAAACAGCCCCCCCAAAAAAGCCCAAATTTGGGCAAGAGCTGAGATCCAATGTTATTGCTGTTGGGGTCTCTGGAAATCCTGAACCCCCCTAAGGCCTTGAAGCGTGAGGCCTAAACCCCCCTAAACCCTAAACCCCAGGGTTAGAACCTAGGTTTCAAACCTGGGTCTGGACCTGGATTTGAACCCGGCTTTGCATCCTGCAGTAGTGACCCGGGTTCTACCCTGCATTCGAACCCGGGTTAAACCCAGGTTCCAAACCTGGGTTCTTTGGGTTGTTGGTCAAAACCTGGGTTCCCAACCTGGGTTAGAACCTGGGTTTCAAACCTGGGTTCGAACCTGGGTTACAACCTCGTTTTGAACCTGGGTTTAACCGAACCCAGAAAGCCACGCGCAATCGCGTCAGGGGGCTTTAAGCGAGAAAATACAAGGCAAACACCTTCTCCAACAGACAACAAGATTAAAGAACGTTTTCTTCGCACACAACAAAGAGAAAGCCACACGAAATCGCTTCAGGGGTTTAAACGCGATGAAACTATGTAAAAACAAGTAAAACGCCTTGCTTCTCCACACAAGAAGGAGAAAGCACGCAACAGATAACAAGAATAACAAAATCGTTTTCTTCACGCACAACAAAAAGAAAAATCGCTTCAAAGGCTTTAAACGCGATGAAAACAAATTAAATACAAGTAAACGCCTTGCTTCTCCAAACACAAGAAGGAGAAAGCCAACCCAGACTCAGAATCCAGGTTCAGAACCCAGTTTAAATCCAAACCCAAGTTCGAAACCCAGGTTTAAGCCCAAGTTCCAACCCAGGTTCAAACCCAGGTTAAACCTGACGTTCAACCCAGGTTGGAACGTGGGTTCGAACCTGGGTTCGGAACCTAAACCCCCCCCAAATCCCCAAGCTCTAAACCTTACATTAACCAGCCAAAACCTACTTTTTGTAGGGCTCGTATACATTATTCCATATTAGGGTTTGTCACAAGAACCTACAAGACAGTAGGTTTTGGGTAGGTTAAGGGAAACCCGAAACCCTGAAACACTCCTTTGCTGGCCGAGGAAGAACCACGTCTTGCCAGGCCACGTCTTTGTTGCATCGTCATGAACACCCCTAAACCCTAAACCCTAAATCCCTAAACCCTAAACCCTGAACCCCAAACCCTTAACCCCTACACCCTAAACCCGAAACCCTAAACCCTAAACCCCATATGCGGGGCGTAGGTTCAGGTTTTTTCTGTAGGTTCTGGGGTTCAGGGGCTAGGGTATATGCTACAGGTGTGGCTTTAGGCAAGAAGCCCGGTGCTTTGGGGAGAAAGGCCAGACTGGCGGCAGGTGGACTGCTCCGAGATTGCAAGTTGGATTTCTTCGGTTGGGTCATGACATGCGCGACTGAAATCTAGGTACTACCCGAAGCCCGAAATTCGTGTAATTGAGTCGGTTATCTCCCGGAAGTTTTCCTGGAACCAAGTCGCGCGGTGGACGAACACCACACCCCGATGGTCCCTAGAATCTGGGAGTTTTTGCAGACAGTGTTTGAATCTAAAGCGGCAAACTCAGATCACGGCAGGGTTTAGAGGCTTTGTTTTTCCTCTGGTTTGGGTCCCCCTTAAGTCTCACAGCCTTTGCAGGTGTCGTCAAGTTCTGGAACAACGACAGAGGCCACCTGAGTGAGTCTTCGGAGCGATGTTCCGACAGAGTCAGGCTTCCTTTCTTCGGAATCCTCGGAAGGGAGATGAGGGTCTAAGGGTTTAAGGCTTTAGGGTTTAAGGATCTTACGCTCAAAACGGAGGTCTTAATAGTAGCAATATCACGGCCACGCTTCCATGATGATACCATGTTTTTGCATGTCAGCTTCGAACAGCCGCATCCTTTAAGCCCCCAAAGCTCGTCATTCCGGCCGCTATGCTTAGAACCCTAAACTCACCCCTAAACCCAAAATCTAAATCCTAGCCCTAAACCTAAACCCTGAACTCTGTCAGGGCTTCCTTGCTTCCCGAAGCGCTCAACTTCTCAACTTGAGCAGTGTGAATCGGCTCTTTGGGATCTAGGGGTGGATAAATAGGGTTTTGGGGCCCATTATACTATAATTATAACAAGCTAACAAGCTAGGAACCCACAAAAATAGTATAGGTAATTGTTCTGGCCCCTACATTACCAACTTGGTCGGGTGCAAGAAAGATCAACTCGCTCTTAGAACCTTAAACCCTAAACCCCTAAACCCTAAACCGGTGTTGGTTTAATGCATGCAGTAGGCGTTGTAACTTTGTAAGCCTCGATGTCAGAGGCTGGGGAATTCTCCAGACGCTGGTGTCGGTGGACGGGAGAGGTGCCGTGGCTCCAGCCCTAATCTTACAAAATATAGGAATACATAAACAAATATGTACACATACATATATATTTATAGACATATGTATATCTATATATGTATGTATATATATATATATACACACATGCATACATGTACATCTACAGTTGCTACTTGCTACGCCTACGACGACTGACTACCACTGCTACTACCGCTACAACGCCCACCACCACCACGACTACGACCGCGACCACTACTACTACTACTACTACTACTACTACTACTACTACCACCCACTACTACTACGAATACTACCACGACGACGATTACTGTTCGTGCTACAGCAATGCTGCTACTTCTACTTCTGCAACTACGACCGCTGCCACTACCGCTAGCATCAAGTCGAATCTCGAATCTGAACCGTGGCTGCGTACTGCAATACTTTCAACAGGAAGTCTCCTCAAGCGAAAACCCTGACAGGAGGAGTGTGAGAACCTACTTGTTGATAAGTTGTCAGATAGCACTAACCCTAAATCCTAAACCCTTAACCACTTTGCCTAAACCATCCTAAACCCCTAAATCCTTTACCTTCAAATCCTAAACCCCTGAATTTCTATCAAGGCGGTGAGGTCTACCTCAACCTGCGGGAGGTCCTCTGCCGCCCAGCCCAGATCCAGCCACCTGCCTTGATGCTCTTCGGTTAGGACTTACCCGGGTTTGGGGTTTAGGGGTTCAGGATTTAGGGTGTAGTTTTTTGGAGTTTAGGCTTTGGTAGGGCTCGGAGTTTCGGGGTTCAGAAGCTTTGCGGAGGGTTTGCCAGAGCTTTGCAAGCGTGTCGTGCAGAGGTTTCAAGACTGCGATGGAAGGGTTTAGGGTCCGGGGTTTAGGGTTCCAGATGGAATGTTTTTGGCTATTGTGCCGTTGAACGTACTTGTATCCAACCAATCCTTCTTCATTCGGATCCACCCCCAAGGGCACCACCAATCCACAACAACTCCTCCCCTGCTAATTATGCAGATTTGAATGTAAGACTAACACTAAACCTCTAAACCCGAAACCCTAAACCCCAAACCCCTAAACCCTTAAACCCTTTACACTCTATGAATCCCTAAATCCTATAAGCCCTATAAGCCCTAGACCCCTCAACCTGCAGAGTCCGAAGCCTTCCACCTGAAATCGATCGAACGAAGCGTTTTAGGGTTTTAGGGTTTAGGGTTTAGGGTTTAGGGTTTAGATTTGTTTAGGGTTTAAAGTTTAGGGTTTAGGGTTTCCCATGTTAAAACTCTCAGTCCTAAGCCGCAGACTCCCCCAAAACCCGAAGTGCGGAACTGTGCTTGAACTTTGATTTCATACGAACGCTAGGCTTGGTCGTCTTTCAGTCGCGGCTTAGGGCTTCTAGTTGCCTCACATAGGTGTCGGAATAACCACCAACTGTCCTCCTTAGGCTTCCTCCATGTAGTTTCAGTATAAGAAGAACCCCCCAAACTCAAGCCCCTGGATTACAGAACCCTTGCAGATCCCTTAGGCTTTGTAGCATCCGTACAGGAACCCGTAAAAAGAAATCCTAAAGCCCTTACGCTGGCCAATGGGAATAGATCAACACCGGAGTTTCCGCTTGTGCGTTTGGTCTTGTCAGAGAAGTCGAAGCCTGGTGGTGAAGGCATAGAGCCCTAAACCCCTAAACCCTAGAAAGCCCTAAACCCTAAACCCTAAAGCCTATACACCCCAAGCCCTAAGCCCTACATACATCCTATAAGCCCTAAACGACTAAACCCCAGAAAGCCCTAACCCTAAACCCCTAAACCCTAGAAAGCCTTAAACCCTAAACCCTATGGACCCTAAACCCGAAATCCCTAGACCCTAGAAAGGCCTAAACCCTAAACCCTAGAAGACACTATGGACCCTAAACCCCAAACCCTGTAAACCCCAAACCCTTAAATCCTAGAAAACCCTTCGCCCTAAACCCTAGAAGTCCCTATGGACCCCAAACCCTAAACCCTATAAGCCCTAAGCCCTAAGCCCTAAACCCTAAACCCTAAACCCTAAACCCTAAACCCTAAACCCTAAACCCCTAAACTCTAGAAAGCCCTAAGTCCTAAACCCTAGAAGACCCTAAACCCTAAACCCCATGGGCCCCAAACCCTAAACCCCGAACCCCTAAACCCCAGAAATCCCTAAACCCTAGGTTTCAGGGTAGAGGGTCGGCAGGCTTCCTCTCGCAGGGGTTGAGAGTTTGGGAAGCAGCTGCTTTTTCGGATTTTGTTAGGCTTCACGGTTTAGGGTTTAGGGTTTAGGCTTCAGGGTTTAGGGTCTAGGGTTCAGGGTTTAGGGTTTAGGGTTGAGGCTTCAGGGTTTAGGGTTCAAAACCCAGAAAACATAACCCCTAAAGCACACCAACCAAGTAGACCCTTAAGAGGCAGGCAGGTGAAGGGCCAGCTTATCGTTTCGGTTGGGGCTTTCGCACGCTGTCGGCTGATTTGTTCGCAGACCCTGCCTCCTATGGCCCTGAAGCCCTCAATCCCGCAACGTCCGGAAGCTCTGAATCCCGAAAGCCCAAATGATAACGGTTTACGGTTTAGGGTTTAGGTTTCAGTTTAGGGTTTAGGTCTCAGTTTAGGATTTAGGGTTTAGGTTTCAGTTTATGGTCTAGGGTTTAGGTTTCAGTTTAGGGTTTAGGGCTTAGGGTTTAGGGGATAGTCTTCAAACTTCACAAATCGGCTGATGCCAAAAGCCCAGGCACGGAGACAACCTTTTGGGTTGCATCGTCCCTGCACAGGACGGCCCTGGCCCGGATTGCAGTCGAGCCTAACTTGAAGGCTTTCGTGTGGAAGAAATTCAAAAACCCTCTTTAAGCAAGAAAGGTATCTTAACTAATAAAGGGGCCTGAAAATTAGAATAGGGTTTGGGTATATTATACTTCAATTTTACTAAGGAACACCCAAAACCCTGTTCTACTTAGTAAGGCCCCTACTTTAGACTAGAAGAGTGTTGCTTATGGTTTAGGTTTGGAGAGTCAGGGGCCTGTCGGCTACGTCTCGCGTGTTTTGTATCGCCAGTCTGCATCTGCACCCTGCAATTTGGGTGTTTTGCAGGGTATCAGGGCGAAACCCTTTAATCCTCACCTCTTAAACCCGAAACCCTAAACCCTCAACTCTTAAACCCCCAAGCCTCAACTCTTAAACCCTAAACCCTAAACCCACAACTCTTAAACCCTAAACCCTAAAAACCTCTACTCTAAAACCCTGAACCCTCAACTCTGAACTCTTAAACCCTAAACCCTCAACTCTTAAACCCGGAACCCTCAACTTTTACGCCCTAACCCCTAAACCCTCAACTCTTAAACCCCCAAGCCTCAACTCTTAAACCTTAAACCCTAAAGCCTCATCTCTTAAACCCGGAACCCTGAAGCCTGGACCCTAAGCCGTCTCAGCCCTACAGTCCTCTGAACTTGAAGTTTCCAGAGGGGCCTTCTGCCTTCTGCCACTTAAGGGTTCAGGGTTTTGGGATTATAGGGTTTAGGGTTTAGGATTTTAAGGTTGAAGGTTTAGGCTTTATGGTTTTAGGGATTTGGGATTTAGAGTTTACGGTTTAGGGTTTAGGGTTTACGGTTATACCGCAACTTCTAGAAGGGTCCCTAATCTGACTTCAAGTATAGTCCTGAAGTTCGGGGTGTTGGTGCTCTGTTCTTCCCCTACTTGAGGCCTTGGTCTTCTGTCTCCGGAGGTGCCAAATCCCAGCCATCAAGGAATGGACCCTAAACCCTAAACCCTAAACCTTAAGTCCTAAACCCTAAACCCTAAACCCTAAACCCTTCAATCAGAATTCAGTGGCCCCTACGCAGTTTGCAGTGGTAGGTCAGTACACTGTACACTTTGGTTAAGTGATTTGGACAATCCCATTTCAGAGTTCAGGTCTAATATAGGGGCCTTAGCAACATCCTATGCTATTTCGGGTGTTCCTGATTATAACCATACTAGAATATACCCCCCCCCCCTCCCCCCAAAAAAAGAAACTACTGTAATCGTTAAGGCCCCGACAGTATCCTTAAATCATGATGAACGGTCCAATTGTGGTTTCAGCCATATTCCTGAACTGCAGGGCGTAGGAGACTTTGTGTTGGGTGAAGCTTTGCTTTCCAGACCCATGATCTACAATAGAGGGATCTACAAAGAAGAGCGCGATCTCATAATACTCTCTTGTTTAGGGTTTGGGGTTTAGGGTTTGGGGCATTACAAGCTGTTACTTTAGAGGAAGCTAGAGCCTGAGCCCCAAACCCCACTTGGGTGGGGTAACATAAGGGCCTTAATAATCAGAATAGGGTTTTGGGGTTCTTTATAGTATCATGAAAATAAGGAACCCCCCATCTTTATAGTATCATTTTATTTGGAACCCCCAAAATAATATAGGTAATTCTTGAGGCCCCTATATTAGTTGGGTTCGGCCCTTGAGTAAGAAGGAGTCTCGAGACCCGAATGCTCGGCGATTTGCTGCGACGTGCCAGGGCCAAATTCAGCGGGGTGACAGGCAGACTCATGTGGGTGGTTGTCAAAATTATGGTCCCTTTTTGGGTCCTTATTATAATACGGCACCTATTATTTAGGGTATCCCAAAAGGGACCATAATTTTGACAACTACCCATGTAGACGTCTGAAGAGCTGGTATGTGCTACTATTCCGTCATAGTTGCGTTGCCCCTGGAAATTTAAATCAGAACACACCAAGCCCTACTCTCATTCTCATTGCATTTACATGTTGCGATGGAACCTGGCCGTTGGGATTTTGGGTTCTACCCAGGAAGTGCCTATGCTGTGGATTTCGTGCATGCCCGGATTTCTATCACATTAACAGCCCGAAATCCGAGAGCTCTATATCCTCCCCACATCCAGAGCCCTATAGTAGAAGCCAGAAAGTTGGAACATTAGTGTCCTCATGCCCTTAAGGTAAAGCATAAAGGATCCTAGCACTAATCCTCCTAAAAGCCATCTCCCAGCTTTCCTACGTACTCCAAGTGTCCAGCTGTAAGCTCGACAGCGCTTCTCTATACGCCTTCTGAAGTGCAGAACATATACGCCTTCTGAAGTGCAGAACAGATTACGCCTTCCGAAGTGCAGAACATATTACGCCTTCTGAAGATTCTGAAGTGCAGAACATATAAACCTTACACCCCAATGAACTCCAGGCCGACGCCTCAAAATTTCAGTCTCACCAGCTCGAGGCCTTGGCCTCAAGCCCGGCCTAATTGAAAGCCTACCTTAAGAACCCAAAACCTACTTTTTGGTAGGGTCCCTATAAATCCCCATATTAGGGTATATAATGAGAACCTACAGAAAAGTGGGTTTGGGGTTCTTAAGGTAGAGCCCAAGTCCTCCAAGCTGCGCCCGAAGCCTACAATCCCTAAACCCTACCTTGAACTACCATAACCTACTTTTTTGTAGGTCCTTGTTATAAAACCTAATATAGAATTTATAGGGACCCTACAAAAAAGTAGGTTTTGGTAGTTTAAGGTAAGCCAAACTCCAAAGCGCTACGTCCTAAGCCAAATCATTCCAAGCCCCCCGAAGCCTGCGCCCCACGCCTGGAGAAACCCTAAACCCTAAACCCTAAACCCTAAACCCTAAACCCTAAACCC